TGTTTTTATTTAAATTTTTTACAAACTTTTTAACATTTTCATCAATTCCTTTTTTATAATAATTTTCACAGTATCTATAGACTTTTTCTAATGTGTTATAACATGTTAAATGATAACCATATCCACTAATTAAAACTATTACATCATCAACATTATTAGAAAATGCTTCTTTACAATGATCACAAATATTAAGAGATGGTATACATTATGTATGGTGACCAGTTGGTAAGCATTTTATATCCACAATGCAATTAAGTGAAACTAAATAATATGGGTGATTTCTTTGAAAAAGATGGATTAACTTGATCAGGTTGAAGCATATAACTTTTGCCGATATTTCTTGGAAATAAGATAACAAAAATACTGGTTTTTTTATATGGGTAAATATATGGTTTTTTAAAGGTATCAACAAAAACTGATTTATAGGAATCTAAAGGAGTTCATTAAAAATTAATAATTCATTTTCTTAATGTTTGTATTATATACATACATACATACATACATACATACATATATATATACACATACATACATACATATACATATATATACACACACACACACACACACACTACCCAGGCAAAAGTTTGTGAATGATGTTTTTTGTTAATTACACAAAATGCTATATAATAACAACACATAAAATTTTAATATTATACAACCTATGTTCTTGTTGGTTTTTGTATAAAATTGATGTATTTTGTACTTTATTAATTAAAAAAAAATTGAAATTGATTAATAAATTATATGATTCTAAATACTTTAATGCATCTAGATTTTATTTCTTTGTTATTTTTTTCTAAATCATGATTTGCAAAAAAATTCAATTTTAACTTTTGATCTTTCAAAAAAAAAATTTCGTTTTTTTTTTAATTAATAAAGTACTAGAAATACAAAACACATCAAATTTTATACAAAAATGAACAAGAACATAGGCCATATAATGTTAAAATTTTATGTGTTGTTATTATGTAGCATTTTGCGTAATTAACAAAAAACATCATTCACAAACTTTTGTCTGGGTAGTGTGTATATATATATATATATTTGAACTTATCAATTACAAATGCCTGATTAATAATTGATTCTGCATTTTGATTTACATTAATATTAGCTGTGAAAATTTTCAACATAATATTTATTGAAATTAACAAGATGATTCTCTAATACATTTGCAGAAGGATTTTGATTTTCTTCCCAGTATATGTAATCTGAAATAAATGCAGTATAATCTTATTATAATTTTTTCTTTTCCATCTAAGAGCAAAGTCCAGATTCTAAATAATGACAATTAAATTATTTTGTATTTTCTGTATAATAAAGATTGTGTAGGTCGTGTAATGTGATAATTTTGAATGTCAATCAAAAACAAAATTCCACTATTAGTCGTGTGACATGTCCTAAAAATCAAGGGGCAAGTTTATTTTCCGAAAAATTTCCGGTGATCTACACAATTT